CAATCTTTTTATTTTTTGTAAAGAAAATGTCCAAGCAATACTTCCAAATCAAAATTGGACATCAAATAAAACAAGAATTTCATGTAAAATTTAAAATAGTTTGATATTTTTGAAATGTAAATGCTGCGGACTTAAACACTGCTAGGAATTTATTACTTTTGCAATGTCTATTGGGAAGGGTCAAATAAAAGTAAAACATTGTAAATGTTGCAGCCAGGAATACAGGAATATGTTACATTCTATTTTCCTGCAAAAACAGTTCAAAAATATTGACCACGATATTACTTTCGATTTTGATGAATTAACATAGCTTGCAAACAATCAAAGTTATAACATGATGTTACTTTATTTTTGAGGCTAAAGCAATATTGTTCAGTTGTGATGCCATGCAAAAAATGTTAGTTCTTTGGTTTGATATGTAATATAGGTAAAATTTGACATTGTTTCATCGCGAGAAAATGATTGCTTCGGTAAAAAACACAGATCTACCATCCTTTGCCCAGTGGGTTAAGAATGCTATTACCAAATGAGAAAGCCACATTGTACGGTCAATAGGATTCAGAATTCTTCAAATGGTAGTGATCATGAAGAACATGTTGCAGAAGCATGTGAAATTATAGTGTTGCAATGGTGACATGATTGTAAATAACAAAACACAAAGTAATGCAGTTTTGATAAACTTTGTGTATTACATGCGTCTTCAGACTTGCACCGTAAATGCAACAAACACGCTATTATGTCCTTGGTTGTATTTTCCTAGAATCAGTTTTACAAAAAGAAGAGATTAGTTTTCGTGAGCGTCTATTTTGGGCAACGACTGTAATCATCATGATGGATTTACACAAATCTGTAGATGAGAAAAACTAACCACTTCACAGGTTTCACAGATGGTAATCATGTCGTTGAAAATATGAAATCATCAATGACATTTCTCAATTGTCTCTTTTTTTTATTCCCAGGAGCGTGTAACTATGGCAACATCTTCCAGTATCCGTGGCTGCAGTGATTTAGCTGTAGATCCTATGATTTCGTGTAAATTGTGTCTGTTAGAACAACCACTCCATAATATGCATCAGATGCAACAGTGCAGCTGCATTTATTGTTTGCCGGTAGGTATGAAGATCACTTTAAAAAAAAAAGCTTTGTTATTTTAACGAATTTGTCTAAATGTGTGAAATGAAGTGCTGCAGTCACTGAGTGGTGCGTGTATTTCGCACGTATTGTGTATATTGCGTGGAATCCATATCAAACATTAAGTGACTTCAACAGTACTGAAAATTGACTCAAATTTGGTCTGTTGGCTCAAAAATAGAGGAATATTATTTAGATATTGAAAACATCTAATATAGACGTTACTCGAGACGCAGAAAATCCTAATTTATGAAAGCCATCAACAGTGTACTTACATTACTTGAGTAACGTAGTTACATACAAATGATAGTTAATGTCTTAAATAAAAACACAGAGTTCAGAACACATACAGTGTATTGAGGTCTTCAACCTCATATATAAAGAATAAAAATGTACATTTACCACAAGTGTTACATAATTAGTGATTCAGATACAAGTCATCAACTGACTTTAACCTTTTCATCACCAGTTCCCTCTTTTCATGACAAATTTACAAAATAGTCCTGTTTGTATTTTGCACTTTCCTATGAAGTGCTGCAGTCATTGAGTCGTGCGTGTATTTCACACGTATTTTGTATATTGCATGGAATCATAAACATTACGCGACTTCAGCAGTACTGTAATTTTGCTAAGATGACTTTAATTAATTTTGTTGTCAGAATCAACACTTTAGTGACTTAGACAAATGGATTTTATTGTTAGTGAGAGACGCAAGACTTCTTAGTGCCCTTCAAATGATGTTTCTTTCTCTCTCATCATCACAACTGCTATTCCCCTAATCTATGTCACCTTGGTAACAGTGACGAACGAGAATGGAATACTATTTTTGGGAAAAAACATTTTTTGTAGCCCTCTCAAATGCAATAAAATCTTGGCATTGGAGTCTAAGGTCGAAGTCTAATGCCAAAACGATGCCTTTGAGCTTTTGTTGTTACATTCAGTTTTTGATCAGAGTTTTAGTTATTGGTTATACTTATATCAAAGGTGATACGACTTTGCTTTTATGCAGTAGCAGGTACTGTATTTTCTCTATTACTAGCACGTACAATTACATAAATGAAAGAGATGTGTCATTGGTGAATTTTTTTTATTAACAAGTTTTGATTGGTTCATGTATGATTATGTTTGAAAGGCACTTCTGAATACACTACTTATCCTCAATTCTGATTCATTACAAATACTGTATAACAGTATTTGCATGCACTTTCATAAATGACAGATATGGTGGTCAAAATAAATTTGAATGATACAATGAATTCAAATTTTGGTTTATTCACGCTTTTTTTTGGAGATGTGGTTTTCACCTTTTCACCATCAGACTCACACTTTTTTTCTTATGGCCTTCAATATTTTTGAAAATGAACCGTAATTTTGGAGCCAATAGTAAATTTTCAGTTTTTATTCCTTTTTGTACCAATCTTTTGAGGGAGAATACAGACTATAAACAGGACTATTTTGTGAATTTGTGATACATGTAGGACTTGTGATTGCACACTTAATAAAGTTTATTGAGAAGTTAAAAAAAATACATATAGACATATACAGGTACATATCTGTAATGATAATAATATAGTATATTGAATGTTTAGAAATACAAGTGTCTATCACTGTGTAACAATAACATATTAATAATGGATATAATAATTCTAGTAGCTCGTAGTCATATGAAAAGTAGACGAATTATCTCCACAGTTTGAGAAATTTAAGAGTTATTTTCGTATCATCCATTTTTGACCCAGAAACTGAAGTTGTTGGACGTACACATTCGCAGTGACACGCTTTTGACACTTACATCTATAGG